ATTGGTACAGTTATTTTGATAAATTACGGCGATATCAAACACAATACTAAACCTACTAACACTGAAGTACAAATTCTAAAAGAATGTTAAAAAGTAGGATTTTTTGGGTTACACATATGATTTGGTAAAAAAAAAACAATTAATCTTTTTTGTTAATTGCTTCCGTAACAGATGTCATAAAGAATAATGAAATTTAAACATTACCTGTCACATTTTGCTATTTTAAAATTAGAACAAATGAATAGTAGAAATATTTTCTAATAAGATATTTTCGGTCTGTAACCTAAATTTTTTTGTAGAAAGGCAGAATATCGACAATATTTAGCACTGTACTTTCATAGATTTATTAATACATCTTGACTTTCCAAATACAACTCATCTACCAGATTTAATTAAGTTGAAGAAATTTGTGACCATTTTTAAATAAAAATGTCCGTGTTTCAACATTTTCAATTTCAGATTTCAACAAAAGTATCACCAAAAGTTTAACATTTGTAATCATTAATGGTATGGTCCATTAATATTACAGATTATTATAAAACCATTTTCCCAAAACATGTTAAATGTTAAAATTCACATGAAAGTGCTATCAAATATTTGTATGTTAGAAAAACCGTCGTGCAGCTAAAGAAAATCAAAAATTATATCCAGTGCTTTTCACTCGAAAAGTTAAGTATTGTGATAGAGAAATATATGAATATTGAAATATACGAAGCTTGCCTTACATATGACATTTCTCGAAAGAAGATTTTTGTACATTTGATAAATCCCATTGGTGGATTACAAATTTACTAGCTTACGTTGTCTTAAGCCTTATTTAAAATGATTTATTCAAAATCATAGTCAGATTTAATGGCGTATAAAAAATTAAATATGAAAAATAAGTAAAAAAGTATTTTACGAGAATTATCCGATAATGACGCGATCTAACAAAGACATTTTGGCGTTATATATTTTTCTATATTTTCTGACAATAAGTTGACGTAATTCATAATCGTGACGTGACAATCATAAAAAAAATTATACTAGCGTCAAACACCATCCGCATTAATGGAAAGTTGACATAGGATTTTATGATTCTAAAAGAAGTCAGAAAAGGTTAAATACTATGCACATTGTTGTGTATTCTATATTCTGATACAATCTTCAAAGAAACGCTACATTACAGGAAATTGGTGTAAAAATTAATGGAAAACTCATAATTACAAGCAGATACGCAGACCATATAGTTAATTAAGTGATGATTTAAATGTATTTCAATGCCTCTATAGCAGCTATAGAAACGGTGGGACCAAAGATGGGAATCAACACTAACAAAATTGTTGCAACACCAAATACAGTGTGTCCAGAAACTCTTCTGACAAACGAAGATCGAAAATTCCTCAGATAATTTTAAAACAATTCAACCCAATTCACCTTGTCCGAAAATGCTTACTTAGGGAGCTAAAGCTATTTAAAAATGGCGCTTTGTAGTTAGTTAATAGTTTTTCCTAAATACCTTCAGAACGCGTCTATTTAGAAAAACGAAAACTGGTACCATTATGTATCCTCAAGAGTTAAATCTGGTAATCTTAATCGTAAGACTTTGAATGGCTTAATTAAGCTTGGGTATGCAGTTTACTTTAATTGCTAGCGACATTTCACTTCATCTTCCCTCACTAGAGGTTGCTAGTAGCATACTCTAGTAATTATTTTTTTTATAATTGCCATAGTAATACTACTGTGCGTTTTGGTTTGGTTTAAGTCTTCTTACGAGTCTCTCTAATCACGACTAGACCCAGAAACACGTGTTAGAGAATGGTAAGAGACTCAAATTAAATCGAAACGCAACCGTCTACGTATATTTATTTTAAGCATTCATGATACTAAATTATTGTATTTTCAGGTGTTCTAGTACTAAAAGATACTCTTACTTTAAGTTGGTAGAATATACGGTTGTCTATGAAAATCGATTTAAAATTTTTCGTCATGAAATTTCTTCTTCTTCTTTTTATATAGACATGACTCTCTCTGTTTTTCAATGTGCCTCCAGTAAGTTGTCGTTCCATCGTTTTCGTGGTCTTCGTACTGATCGTCTTCCTATTGAGAAACCGTCTCTTGCCGTATTTTCTACTCTATTAGGCTTATATGCTCGTTCCATTCTACTCTTCCATTTCTTACCCAGTTCTTGATGTTCTCCACCTGGCCATTGGTAAAGTTAGCAACCTACCAATCGTAAAAACAAATACTGCCCAAAGAAACAATGTACTGCCTTGGAACCGGATAGTCATGAAAGTTAATCCCACAATTTTAAAATCTTCCGTAGGAAATATCTAACACACCGAAAATTTATATCCTTTTTATTTTACACAGGTACAAATAGTGCTACAAGGAGGCTTTCCTGTTCGTAAAGAATACGTTAGATGGTTACAAAAGCAGAAATATAAAAATAATAATTTTGTTCAGGTACATTTTATTTTCGACAACATTCACATTCAGATACATTCACAAAAAATGGAATTTTTAATATGCATAATGCGCACTATAATTCGTATGTTGGTGACAATCCCCACGTTGTTCACGAATTTAAGCATCAGCTTAGGTTTAGCATAAACGTCTGGATATGAGTAGTTAACGATTATCAACTTTGGCCTGTGGAATTTCCTGTTCGTTTGAATGGTGCTGATTATTTACATTTCCTGCAAAATGTTTTACCTGATTCATTAGCCTTTAAATATTTGACAAAACTTATGGTTTCTACATATCGTCTGTTCGGTCCACATTAGTAGGAATGTACGAGAGTTTCTTGACAATAATTACAAGGACCACTGGATTGGAAGACGCGGTCCAATTGCGTGGCCAGCAAGGTCGCCGGATTTTAATCCTTGCGATTATTGTGTTTGATGATACATAAAAGCATTTGTTTATTTCGTTCCGATACAAAATCGTGTACAACTCTGGATAAGGATACAAGATGTTTGCAAGAATGGACTTATGTCAATCACATCGAGCATCTTTTGTAACTATCGACTTTCGATACTTGTTCTTTTGTGTTCGTTTCGTTCAATTATAATAAATACTTTGTTTTTGAAACCTTTAAAATAAAATTTTGTTTCAATTTGATTTTTTGCTTCCTTTTCGACACATCCCGACGAAGATTTTACAGAATGGTAAATAATATCATTTCTAGGATACATAGTTTTCAAATTTCGTATTCGCAAAGTATTTAATATAATGCAAAATCATCTCGAAGTCTCTATCTGTAAAATAAATTGCCTGAATATAGTTTTAGGAACCTAGAATTAGCTCCGTCTATAAAGAATATTTTATTACCACAAATTTTACGTAAAAGTACCTTTTTACTTAATGGTTTAGATAATCCAAAAAATTATTTGTCTTTATGAAATACACGACAAAAGATAGTTAATCATCCCTTTACTCATATTCCTCCATTTATCAAATGTCATTTTATAACAGGCAAGCCTCGTCCCTATATCACGAAGCATATTGTGCTATATCACCAGAACTTAATGAAAATTAGTTACAGCAAATGTGTGATACTCTCAATTATTTTATATAAAACATGTGTTAACTAAAAATTGTCGCACTAGGTATGGCTTGGCTTTTCAGGATGCACTAAAAATTTTAAAATCTTTAAGAATACTAAATAATCTTTACAACTTAATTAATAATCCAGAATTTACTTCTCTATCGTAGTAATGTATTGGAAACCTCAGCTAACAATTTGACTTAAGGTCTACTAATTAAAAGAGTAATTATTAGATACTGTTTCTATACTACTCTAACGATTATATCCATTTTTTTGACGCAGGTATCCTCTTGTTCTTTCTATTAGTCTTTATAATAATAGTTCGGCATTTCAATTCCTCCTTAGTATTTTCATGGTTGTCCCTACATTATCTGCTAATGCCAAATATCATCAATAAAAATTTCAATTAACTTGTAGCAATTGCCGAATACCATGTCTCACTGTTGTCATTTCCGTAATCATTCATTTCTTTTTCGGTGTTTATGTTTTACATATGGTAAAGTTTGACCAATATTATTTTATTTTCCAGTGATTGTTGTGCCCTTGTTACCCAATCATGATCCACTTTATAATTTTTAGTGCGGCTGCTCTGGATCGGGTGATGTACTCAACCTATGTCCCCCATAATGATTGGGGGACCCAAATCCGAAAGGAGGAGTGCCCTACACGGTGTTGTGTAGTCAGTCGTCCTTTAAACCGCACCAGTCTGGAGTGAGGCTGTAGATACCGAATTACAAGAGGCTCATGATCCAAGTGAACAGAACGAGTCTGATGCGAGTAGCATGCGCCTACATGTAGACTATCATGGGTTGTGTTCCTCTACATGTGTTAGCAGTAGAAAGGAGATATCTCTAGCAGCATCACTAGGAGAGAAGAAAGCATTTGACTATAGCCATACGAAAAGAAAAAAGAGAAAGGTCAATGAAAAGATGTAGAGTGAAAGATGTAGGCAGGTAGAGTGAAACAACACGAAAAATGTTGCCCAGTGGACTAAGATGCTGATCCCCAGCCTAAGAGACTGAGTGGACTGTAGTCACAGGCTGCTGGATTACTTCCTGATGCAAGTGCTCACAGGACATGGGTGTTTTAGGGCCTATCTTCGTATCTTCTACGGATTCGATACAACAGCGTATTCTAGTCTAAGTAGCAGACCAGTATTTACCTGTCTACTAGTTACTACGTTACCCTTTTATTTTTTGACCAAGGATTAGACCATAGATCCACCAGATTATTCATAGCGAAAGTAATAAAGAAAGTCATGTAAGTATATATTTATTTAGAATAATCTAAGTACCGATCTGTAAGCCAAATCTAACAAGTCTAACAAGTCCATAGATTTTAAAACATTTTAGTGCATCCCGACAAAAACATAGAAAATGTGCATAGAGAAAAATTATTCATTTTATTTAAATGATTAGTCAAATTTAGTTAAAAGTATTTAAAAAAAAGAGCGGAAGAAAAAAATAATTACCTATGTACAACATTGGCCAGGAGGTCGTTATGCTTTAATTTATAATCCGTTGGAACTTTTTCGTAATTAACGGTCAGCGTCCCCGCCTGTATACATCGCTCATACTCTTCCGCTGGATGCGCTCTGAACTCTCTGGCGAATATGTCCAGAATTTTTTCGCCCACCCAACGGCCTTTGGTGAACGTTGTGAACGTGAAGTAATAGGGGTATACTTTTCGCAAACCTGAAATAAACAAAAAAATATGAAATGCTTTAAGCTTAAAAGATATTCTCATGATTTTTTATTATGTTTACATCTGCTGCATAAATTATTACAAAAAAAAAACAAATAAGAAAATACGAACCCCAAATGAAATCGGACAATGTAAGTTAAATCTTTTTCGAGAATTATTGTTAAATTTGCCTTAAATATGGAGTAATAAACAATTAGTGTAAAAAAGAAATATAATTTAGGAACGTGTGATCAGTGAATGCATGTACGATGTGCTATATACTTCTAAGAACTGTTTACACTGTCATTATTTGTTTTTTCATCATGCGCCCCCAGTACAATGAAGAATTTGACAATGTATGACCTTAAATATACGTTGTGATTACTATATCATATTACTCGTGACTGTATATCGACGTATCCATTAACATTTTTAGTGAATACACACAATGTTTGCATTACTTTGAAAACGCACTGTATGTTCCTGAATATATCATTTACACAACGTCGATCAATAAATATATATCAAAAGGAACCCTTAATGTGATACCAGTTCCGTTTACTTGGTAATCGAGTAAGAAAACGCATGTTTATCTTACATTGAACGGCTTCCGTACACTCATTTACATATTAGCAAATCATTATGGAGTCAAATCGTGGGGAAATAATACAACAACGGAATCAATAAGTAGCTTACAGGGGATATTGCACGAAGAAGCTTGGATCTTTATATTTTAAAGACGCATGGAAACTCACTAGATGTTTATATTCGATTAATAAATAACGTTTAATCTAACTAATGCATATTTTCATTGTTTATTAAGCATAATATTTTATATTTATTACAAATTTATTTAAGACTAGCTATTTTATAAAGATGAAAAGAAATTTTTGTATCTTTTCTCCGTAGTATATTGATAATTTTTCTGAAACAAACTTTAGACTTCTTTTTATCATTCTAACGAATATTAAGCAAATCAAATATGGCGGCACACACCAAAAAGCTAAAACAGCTTTCATAACAGGGATTTTCGAGGAATTCTGATCACTCTAGCCAAATATGAAAAACTATGTAACGAAAAACCATTCAACGAAGCAACGAGATGTAAAACAGTACTTATGCCAATATTCAGTGAATCAAGGCAAACAAACTGGAAACCTTTGACAGAATAGGTCACACAGTAGTGGGATAAGTAAAACATCATCAAGAAGCTCAGCTTCGACTCTATTGAGACCATACCATACAATAAAACACACCAGACCAAGTATCTCAAGAATTTATATTAACAGGAAGATCCAGCTCAAGATCACAGAAACCAAAAACAATTAGAAGCACCAATTTGAAAGAAATTGCCTCGAGCTGCAAGGCGGCGGTCACAAATGATATCTGTATAAACCAAATAACCCTGGAGCTTTTTATCAATTGGCGGTACAGCTGCAGAATCCCGATACTTTAGAGAATAGCTAAAGGAATAATGCTTCTAAACCAGGATAAGCAACCATATTCATAAAAAAACTACGGACCAATAGCATATGCCATTTTTTAAGCTATATGAAATACTCATCCTAAACCGCCCAGAAAACACGGTTGACCAGAATCTCATACCACAAGGTGAGTTCAGAGACCAGGTAAATCATGAACCAGCTAAACTCTCTACCTCATAGAACACATAAAATAGAGAAATACAAACGAACAACCGACACCCGAGTATGCAACACACTTCATATATGAAACCAACCAATTCTCTCCCAAACTCTCGAATTATTTGATCCATCCAGGCTCACCTGCCAGGATATCAGCTTCTGATAAGGAGATGCTCAGAGGAGTGTCGCACATTTAAGTATAAAGAACACTGACTCGTTGGTAGAGTTGGATGTAGCCCAGCACTGAACAGAAAAATTTAAAATTCCAGACAGAAAAAACCAAGTAAACCAGCAAATCTTAGCGAAATCTCGGACTTAACCCTAGGATGCATATCCTGGATTTTGGAATTCTGGATATAATTAGTTATGGCTTAATTTATTCTCTTATTATACATTATACACACAAAATAAAATTGTTGCTAAAAGGTAAATGTCATATATGTATGTAATAAATATTGTAAAATTGGTAATTTTATCGTCTTTTAGACATTTTTTACATAAGATGGGTTGGTTATGGTTTATGATAGATCGGGGCAGTCCTTCAGACACCTAGACCTAATACAGGTCCATTGTATCACTTCTATCATACCATAATAGGCCCATAAGGACCTATTCTTCGGCGTTTACCTGGACAAGGCTGTTCCGGGCCCCCATATCTGCAGTAATCAGCAGGTGCTCCAAGTCTGAGCCCTTCCTGTCGTTCTGAGTCTAATTAGTTAGTAGCCTTGTGGCATCACAAAAAGCTATAAGTCTCTTTAAGGACAAATCACCTATTTGGCTCGATTGCACAAAGATCGAACCCAGGATCTGTCACCTCTGGTAGGCCAGTGCTGGTCACTTTCAGAGGACATGTAAGGAGGTTTCCTCTTCCTCATTACAAAAACGGCACCGTGGGCTATCCGCCAATCCAAGCAGATGAAGGTGCCGCCTGAGTCTACAGTGGCCAGTAAGCACACTAACCACCAGAGAGCACCTTCTAGGGTCTAGATGGAGAAGTTGAGCTGTAAGACTTTTGGATGGCCTCACTATGTGGAGCCTCGCTTGTCTAATACCTCCACAACTGGCCCAGGAGTCCTGGAACCTCCGCAGAAGAAGCTCTCTGAGACTACCCGACCAGTACTGAAGGACACTCCCATCACATGTTGGGGTCCCACCGGCAGAGTGAATGAGCACTGTTGTGTCAGTACGTCAGCCCGTTCATGCCTTTCCACGCCTATGTGTTCCAGTACCCATATCAAGTTAACACTATTAGTTCGAGCATAAGAAAGTGGTTTCCTGTACTCAAGAACCCGCTTAGAGCACTTCCAAACCCCTTAGTGCTGCTTGACTGTCGGAGCAGATAGAGCTGGTCCTGCTTAAGTAAGCCCTATCTATTATCTCCTGAGCACATACCGGGACAGCAAAGAGCTCGGCCTAAAACAGATGCATGGAAGCGAGAGACCGGTCATGTTTAAGCGATTCTGCACCCATATACTCCGGCACCTGCGCCCATCTATTTTCGATCCATCCGTAAACCAGGTGAGCCCGCTTCGACGGATCAGTGCAGGCTCTCGTTCCATCCACTGATCCTGGTCAGAAATTGAACCAAGAAGGAGGATGAGAACTCAAATTAGGGCTACATAAGATGGGTACTTTGAATCCACTCGAGTTATTTGCGTGCATACACAATATTTTGTGTTCATTTGGAATTTATTGTATCTGCTTAGTTCCCATACTTCCTGTTACCTATTCGATCAAATTCATCTCATTTCGAAAAAATGGCTCTAAAATGGATTGATGTTAAGAACGATCCAGTCATGCATTCTAGGGTTAACTTAAAATTGTTGGTTTTGTGTTATTGGTAAGAACTTCTGTAGATATTTACATATTTAGGGAGTAGTATTGCGTCGTCTGCATAGCAGATTATTTTAAGTTGTTTTTATCCCATTTGGTATCCTTTTTTTTTCCTTTTACTTTTATTGTATGTTTTGGTAGATATTTTCGATCGTTTTGATTATTCCTAGAGGCATCTCTCTTGCGTACAGTAAGTGGATAAAGTCTTTTAATTTGACCTGGTCAAATCCTTCTTAAGGTCCACGAAACATAGATATGCCGATTTATTGTATTCTAATGATTTCTCTTGCGCTTGCCTCATTATAATTATAGCGTCTGTGGATGATCTTCCCGACCTAAAACCTTGTTGTTCTTTTGCTAGTATTATAATTCCATTCACTTTATTTGTTATCGCTTTGGTTGTTAATTTTAGTGTCCTGTTTGATAAATTAATTCCTCCGTAATTTTCCGTTTCCGATTTGTCTCCCTTTTTGAAGAGAGGCATTAGGATGCTTGATATCCATTCTTGAGGAATTCTATTTAGTTCTATCATTTTTTGGATTAGTTTTAATAGTTGTTTAGTCAGATCTGGTCCTTCGTATTTTATGAGTTCATTCGGTATTCTGCCCTCTCCCGGTCATTTTCTATTTTTTAATTTCCTTAATGCTTTCTCTATCTCTTCCTCTTCAATATTTATTTTTTCGTTTGTCGTCAGCTCTGGTGTTGGTAGTTCATTATCGTCACCTTTAGCAAATAGGGATCGAAACTCCATATTTCTTCGTGTTCCATCTGTTTTGAGAAGCTCTGCCAGTGTTCCCTTTTTATTTGTCTAACTAAAGTATCCGTTTCATTTCTGATTCGTTTATAGTGATTATATGCCGGTTGTGTTTGCTGAGTTCTTTATCGTAAAAAAACTCTATTCTTTTCTTCACATTTCGTCTTCACTTCCTCTCTAAACCATGGTGTTTTCTTTTTTGATATGTTGGTGTTCGTTACTTTTCTCTTTCCAAGTGATTCTGTTGCTGCGTTAATTATGTTATTTTTGAATTTTTCCCAGCTTTCCTCGATGTTATCGTTTTCTAACATTTCATTTCCAGCGATCTTCTCTGATATTCTTTTCCTGTATAAGTATTAGGTGAATTCCGTATTTAGTCCTTCGACTTTGGTTTTTGTTTGTGTTGGCGCCGCTTGGGTGGGAAGTATTTCAGGATGATTTTTATTTTACATAATACTAGGCTATGGTCGCTACCTACATCTGTTGAGTTGAGGCATCTTACGTCGAATATTTTCGATGGATGTATATCTCTGTTCCTCCTCCTCCTAAGTGCCTTCTCTATTGAGGTTGGCGATCAATATGGCAAATTTCTCTCTGTACTGGGCTTGATGGATTAAGTCATTTCCTGTTGTGTGAGTCCAATCTCTGATGTTTCGAAGCCAGGATTTCTTCTTTCTTCCTATACCCCTTTTATCCTCGATTTTGCCTTCTAATATTACCTGGAGTTGCTCAAATTCCTTATGGCGCATTATGTGTCCTAGATATGACGTCTTTCTAATTT